TAAAATAAAGTATAAAGTGAGATGCATGTTACCTGCAATATTTGCATAAAAAAACCCCAACACATTCTTTTCCAGAGTGCAATATGGACCCACTCTTGAAGCAAGGATTGGTAAGTGATATACAGTATATTTTATGAACCAATTATGAAAAAACAAATTAATATTTTTCTTGTAGGCTGTTCATTTTAAATTACTTGCCATATATTTAATTCATATTTTCAAATAGATACAGCTTACGCAGTACACAGAACCCTATTTCCAATCACTGAGGGGGGGAGGAAGGAAGGAAGAAATCAAACTATTGGATCAATATTCCCTTTTGAAATATTGTCATGTTCACTTCCAAATGCCAGGAAAATGTGTGAATTTTCAAAATTTAATTGCACTTTATCCCGTACTTTTATATTTAATTTTTTGTGAACATGCATGAAAGTTGGTTATCAAATACATTTCTGAATCAGTTTAATCTAGAAGTCTGTAAAGTTTAACATGTGCTCTAAAAATAACCCGTTTTCTGTATTTTTTAAAGCACTCTGAAAAATCTGTTGTTAATAAGCACTTTTCAGCATACAGAATTGATATACATGCCAGTAATTTTTTTTACCTTGAAGTGATATTTGTAAGCCTTTTGCTGCCAACGTCTGAGAGAGTAAAATAAGTATGATCCCAACACTTGTAGGATATCCAACACCACAAGTAATGCATGATTTTAGGTATCTGTGCACCTCAATATCAGAACAACTTCAGTATTTATTTTGAATAGGGTTTTTTTTTTTTTTTTAAACACATCAAGATTCTTTTATTTAAATGAGACAGAAACTGGCTTTTCATCTTCTCAGCCATCATGCCATGAATATCACAAATTCTACCACCATGTTGCCAGCAGTAGGCTATGACATATCAATTTTTACTAAAAAAAAGTTTTTAAATTGTCCTTTACACAAAGAGCCATAGATAATCCAACTTCCCTCCAGGCTGAAGTGTTTGGATCTACAGCCCATCTTTCATTTGACAGTTTATACACAATGAGAAGTGCTTCTTATCCGAAGACTTTTCAAAGTACAAAGTGTAAAAGCAAAAGCTAGTCACCACAGCAGGCGTGAACATTTGTGAAGTTAATACTCTCACATGCAAGAGTGAGAGAACTGAAGAGAACTGTCAAAACAAAAATACCGTGTGTTTTCTCATGAAGACCAGTGTATTCATCTATTAAACTGCACATTTTTAAGTTTTCAAAACTTAAATAATATTTCTCTAAAATAATATGCTATAAGCAAGGCAAATTCTATATCTTGCATCCACACTAGAGACTCTTGACTTGCCATTCTGTTCCCAGGTCCACAGGAACAGTAAGCGTAGCCCTAAGAGACTAGGACTGGCTTTTCTGATCCTAGAGGAAATATTTAGAGCCAGAGTTTTAGCGACAGCCTCATGTTACACAGCCTTTTTTATTCTCATAGTGCATTTCCTCCAAGAAATTTTTTTCCCCCTCTAAGAACAGTCATTTTCTGATGCAAGATCTTCATGTACAAACGCATGTTTTGTGCAGGCAAAAAGGACAAACAGGCCCAATTAACTGCTCAACTATGTAACTAGTCATCCCATTTCATGCATCAGCCCAAAGCTTTTTTGTTTAGCTTATATTACATTTCAAGCTTAAAAAAATATTACCAAATCAAAGTCATGGAACTAACAAGCTGTGCACTCAAGTGTACACAGGGTTGGTTGCACTTTAAAAATTGTCTACTAGTGCTACTGGCTTACTCCATTATAGGCACAGGAAATAGCCTTCAAACATTGAGACATTTGAACTGGCCATTGTAACCATTCAGGCTTTTTCCTCAAAGCAGAGATGTCCTGTGGCAAGACAAATTTAGGAGACCAAGATTTTATTCTTGCCTTTGCCACTGACTCACTTTTACCTAAGGCAAAACAAAGCCTCAGTTTCCCCCCATGTGAAACAGAGATAAACCATTCGCCTACACAACATACTTCAAGATATGTGAATAAAAATGTCAAACGAGAGCTAAATATCAGGATTATCTTGCATTCTTTTTCCATATATTTGTGTTTTTGTCTGCTTAAACGATAAGATCTTTGGACAAGGAACTTCTTCTTACAAATCTATAAAGCATTTTGCATATTATTTATAGTTAAAAAATAGAGAGGAAAAGAAAAGTAGCCAAACAAGCCTACAGATGGGACTGCAAAACAGGAAACAGTTGTTGAAAAATATGCTATTTAATATAGTAACTTTGAGCCTACAGGCCTCCGACCAGATCTAAAGTCATCACTGAATGTCTTAAACTGCCTGCTTAGTTCATAATCTGCACATCTGTAAAGTGTCAGACTACTGGGGGAAAATCCAAGAGTCCGACACCTATTTAATGGTAACTGGAATTTTTTACAGTTAATCTGCAGGGCATAGAAGTAAAAGGTCATTGTTGGAAAGATTTTTTGTTTTGTTATGACTTAAAAAGAAGTTTTTAAGTGAGATTCTTCTGTTTTGCCTTTTGAAGGAGAATAAGTCATAAACCTCAACATGTACTGAAATATTGTTTTGCAGTTACAGCTAAACATCTGAAGATAGAGCTTTTAATTTATCACTATAAGACATACTAAGGACTGAAGAAAAAGTAGATCAGTTTGCAGGTTCTACTTAATTTTTTTTTTTTTTTATGAGGCACCCCCTTTATAACGGCTATCTGTATTGTATTTAAATCTTATATATTGACAAAATGTAATCTACCTCTGTAAGCATTGTGCCATTCAACAGTACTACTATTAAATTTATATACCACAGTTTAAATTACATCCATTTCATGAATGGTAAAATGCTAAAACTCAGGTGTCTAACTGCCAAAATACAGCCTTACTGGAATGAGTACAATTTACAAATACAATAATTACATTTTAAAACCATTAACAATGTTACATCTAGAAGTAAATACTGTAAGACTGGTCAAAACAGTGTTTTCTGAGGAAAAAATGCTGAAAGTCGCTGACACTTCCAACAGAAAAATGTCCCAAGTGCAGGATTTAGTTCATTTTCCTTAAACTGTAAATAAAACCCGTTCGATATACAGCAGTCCTTGGTTATATGGATTTTCCATATACTTGCATATGCTTCCATTAGTTATCAGCCAAGTATTTTCCTATAAACAGAATATGTTAAAACAACAGGTTACTAAGTATGTCATTTCTCCCATCAGTTTTGTTACTAGAGCCATAGTGAGCGTAAACAGTGGTGGAGATCTCACACTAGTTCTACTTTGACATTGCTTCATTGGCTTCAATGGAATTACTCTCAATTTCACACTAGAAGTTGGAACAAATCTGCATTTCAGTTGTATTTTTGACCAGGCATCCGTCTATGCATTTATGAAATGCCAGATTAGCACACAAAGGCACTTATTCTCTCAGTGCCAAGGGAAAGCTAAATGGAAAAGATTACCTGCACCTCCTATTCTACCGTACGATCCACAGTCAGATGGCACTATCCACAAAGAGGAGGAAGGAGGGAAGGGGGTCAAGCTCACTTAGAAATGCCTTTATTCATATCTTGGGAAGACACTGCCAGTGAAATTCCTCTGGATCCCTTAATGATGCTTAAAGCACCCACCTGGCTTAACACTTAGTGGAGACTTGAGTGCTACCTGTAGCTTCAAGTCTTTTGGTAAAGCAACAATAGCTCTTTAATGTTTAAATTGTCATAGCCCGTGTACAGCTGAGTCAGCCATTTGAAAAAAAACAGTGAGAACAGTATGCACCCAAAGGGCCAGATAAAAACTGATCACCTGGTAGACATAGTTTCTAACTGAGCAATGATCCAAGAAATCTTGATGAAGCAATTTTTATCAGAGCGCTGTGTGTAACCAAAATAAGCACCAAGGCCACCCATTTTAGTAGAAATACCAACTACTGTCTTGCAAATATTTCCTTCCTGCAGAGGAGGATGCATGGCAGATGGCTAGTGCCTGGCACACTTTTTGGTACAGTCCAAAGAGTCGAGGAGAAGTTCATGAAATGCTTACCTGCTGCAAATCTCTTTTTAATGAGTGAAAACCGGTACCCTGCTCCAACAAGTTCAATGTCACAGCCGGACAGAGTGCTCCCTTCACTGGTAAACTGCACTACCAATGGGGAAGGTTTGCTTGGTCCTTCAGAGAGCTGGAATCTTGCCAGCAAAGAACCCACACCTTTGGATTAAAAATTCCAGAAGGAGATGATTACAAGAAAACAATACACGCTGCTTGTGAGATGGACTATAAACAGAGAATCCTAAATTGCAAGCAAATGCAATAGGAAATACTATTCGAAAGGGCCCATTGATACATTTGGTTTCCCCAAGTTATATAAACGGCAAAATATACACTGCACAGCAACAGTACACACAAGCACACTGGTCTGCTCAAGACAGCCTGCCTCCTCGTGGGAAGCAGTACAACCATGGTTGTGCAGATGACTGCATTAATTTGGGAGTGAACTAATGGGCACTATCACTCAGCAGTGCCAACAACCCATCTCAAGGGCCGCTCGGAGATGTCTAGACTGCTTCCATCTTAGGAAGCAACCTGCTTGGAACAGTGCAGGGAAAATTTGCTGGATAAATGCAGCCTAAGACAGTGGGGGCCAATTTTTTTTTTTTTTTTTTTT